TGGGGGGGGGCCGGGGGGGATCAGGGGGATGTGGGGGAGCACAGGGGGTCAGGGGGATGCGGGGTGGGGGTCAGGGGGGGTCAGGGGGGACATGGGGGGCATTGGAGATGGGGGGGGCATGGGGACATTGGGGGCTTTGGACACGGGGAGGGCGGGGGGATTTGGGGGACATGGGGGTGTGGGGCCGTGGGAGGGGGCATTGAGGGACAGAGGGACACGGGGGGGACGTGGGGTCTGTGGGGGGGGCACGGGCGGGACACGGGGGTCGCAGTGGGGACACGGGGTGGCACTCAGCCCCCCTGACACCCATGTGACCCCCCCCCCTTTTTCTCCCCCCTCCCCCAGTGACTACGAGGCCCTGGACCCCCTCGACATCCGGGGCAACAACACCCGGGTGAGGTTGGGGGGTGGGAGGGGGCTTGAAAGAGGGGGGTCACCCCTTCTGACCTCTGACCTTTGACCCCGCGACCCCCCCGCAGGCCTTCGAGGCGTTCTCGGCGCTGGGGGTCCCGCGGCTGCTGGACGCAGCCGATATGGAGAGACCCCCGGCCCCCGACCCGCTGGCTGTGCTCACCTACGTGGGGCTGCTGAGGCAGCGGCTGCAGGGCAGCGGGGACAGCGAGGCCCCAAGGAGTGCGGGGAGCGCGGCCGGAACCGGGGGGGGGACAGAAACCGGGGGGAACCCAATGGGAGCCACGGAGAACCCAAAAACAATGGGGAACCCAATGGGAGCCGTGGAGAACCCAAAGGCAACCATGGAGAACCCCAAAATCATGGGGAACCCAATGGGAACCATGGAGAACCCAAAGGCAACCATGGAGAACCCAAAAATCATGGGGAACCCAATGGGAACTATGGAGAACCCAAAAGGAACCATGGAGAACCCAAAAAGGACAGGGAACCCAATGGGAACCATGGAGAACCCAAAGGGAAACAGAGAGAACCTAAAGGGAACCCTGGATAACCCCAAAATCATGGGGAACCCAATGGGAACCATGGAGAACCCAAAGGGAACCATGGAGAACCCAAAAACAATGGGGAACCCAATGGGAACCATGGAGAACCCAAAGGGAACCAGGGAGAACCCAAAGGGGACCATGGAAACCTCAATAGGAACCATGGAGAACCCAAAGGGAACTGGAGAAAACCCAATAGGAACCATGGAGAACCCAACAGGAACCAGGGAGAACCCAAAAACAATGGGGAACCCAAAGGGAACCATGGAGAACCCAAAAACAATGGGGAACCCAATGGGAACCGGGGAGAACCCAATGAGAGCTGCGGGGAACTCAAGAACTGTGGAGAACCCAACAGAAACTTCAGAGACCCCAAAAAGGATGGAGAACCCAATGGGAATCATGGAGAACCCAGACGGAACCGTGAAAACCCCAGTGGGAACCTCAGAAATCCCAAAAGTGACAGAGAACACAGTGGGAACTTCAGAGATCCCAAAAAGGGTGGAGAACCCATTGAGAACCATGAAAACCCCAATGGGAACCATGGAGATCCCAAAGGGAACCGTGGAGAACCCAAAACCGATGGAGAACCCAACAGGAACCGGAGAGAACCCAATGGGAACCGCAGAGACCCCAAAACCCACAGAGGTCCCCATGCAGACTCCAAACCCCATAGAAGTCCCAACAGAGAACCCAAACCCTATAGAGACCCCCACAGAGACCCCAAAACCCACAGAGATCCCAACAGAGACCCCAAACCCCATAGAGGTCCCAATGGAGACCCCAAAAACCATAGAGACCCCCACAGAGACCCAAAAAACCACAGGGGCCCCAATGGAGACCCCAAAACCCGCACAGATCTCCATGGATACCCCAGACACTGCAACAGAACCCCCAAACCCCATAGAGACCCCCACAGAGCCCCCAAACCCCACAAAAGAGCCCCCAAAGCCCATAGAGACCCCAACAGAAACCCCCAACTCCGTAGAGGTCCCGAAGGAGACCCCAAACCCTATAGAGACCCCAAACCTCATAGAGATCCTCACAGAGACCCCAAAACCCATAGGGGCCCCAATGGAGACCCCAAACCCTACAGTAGAGACCTCAAACCCCATAGAGACCCCAAAACCCATAAAGGTCCCAACAGAGACCTCAAAGCCCATAGAGGTCCCGATGGAGACCCCAAACACCACAGTAGAGACCCCAAACCCCATAGAGACCCCAAAACCCATAAAGGTCCCAACAGAGACCCCAGAACCCATAGGGGTCCCATCAGAGACCCCAGAACCCATAGGGGTCCCGATGGAGACCCCAAACCCCACAGTAGAGACCCCAAACCCCATAGAGACCCCAAAACCCATAAAGGTCCCAACAGAGACCCCCAGACCCATAGGGGTCCCATCAGAGACCCCAAACCCCACAGAAGAGACCCCGAACCCCATGGACACCCCCACGGAGACCTCGAACCCCACAGGGGTCCCGATGGAGACCCCAAACCCCACAGAGGCCCCCCCCCCTCCCCCGGGGGTCCCCGTGCCCCCCCCCAGGTCGCACCGCCGCAGCTGGGGGTCCCGCGCCCCCCCCCGCACCTTCAGCCACCTCCGCGACGCCGACCTGGTGAGGAAACGGAGGGGGGGGCGCGGGGAGACCCCCGGCACCGGGACCCCAACGGTGAGTATGGGGTGATGGGGGGCTGCTTTGGGGTCGGCGTTGTTGTAGGGTCTGTGTTATTTGGGGGGGGTTGTAGGGTCTGCTTTGGGGTCGGCGTTGTTGTAGGGTCTGTGTTATTTGGGGTTGGTGTTGTAGGGTCTGCATTGCGGTCGGTGTTGTTGTAGGGTCTGCATTATTTGGGGTTGGTGTTGTAGGGTCTGCATTGGGGTCAGTGTTGTTGCAGGGTCTGCATTAATTGGAGGGCGGGGTGTTGTAGGGTCTGCATCAATTGGGGTCAGTGTTGTAGGGTCTACATTGGGGTCGGCGTTGTTGTAGGGTCTGCATTAATTGGGGTTGTTGTTGTTGTAGGGTCTGCATTATTGGGGGGGGTGTTGTAGGGTCTGCTTTGGGGTTGTTGTTGTTGTAGGGTCTGCATTATTGGGGTTGTTGTGGGCCCCACACTAACGGCGTTACTGCAGGCCCTACACAAACGCCCTGGGGTCCCTGACGCTGCCCCTCTCCCCCCCCAGGCTGACCCCCCCCCCCCGACGGAGCCCAGAGCTGCAGTGGAGGAGGAGACACCGGTGAGGGGGGGCTGGGGGGACGCTTCGGGGTCCTTTGGGGTCCTTTTGGGGTGACCTTGGGGCTCCCTTTGGGGACACTTTGGGGTCCTTTTAGGTCCTTTTGG